TAGCCTGAACATCTTCAAGTGAGTGGCGGGGCAAACCGAAAGTTGATGCCGAAAGTCCAGCACTCTCCTACCTTCCCTGCTGCGACTCTTGTTTGTATGTGTTCCTTCGCTAGCATTTTCCACATTTAGTTTTTCTCCCTTAATAACAAATGTGTCCATTCTGATGCTCAATTTTACCGAACTAATGGCTGCTGATGACTATTTGAATTGAATTCTGCTAAAGTGCGCGCTTGTAAGTGTTCGTTAAATGCCTAACGTTAATTATGTGAGTACAGGTCTGCTCATGTCTGAAAATAATATATGAAAAACAAAATTATTTTACATAAAAACATTCTAGCTTATATTTGTTTAGTACATTTTTAAATTAATTTAAAAACTAAAATGAATTGTAAAACTGAAAGTAATTTTTTGAATTGTGTTCAGCATGGTGGGCCGCATTTGAATTCGTGACGGGCCACGGGTTGAGAACCACTGGATTAGATTGATAGGACTGACTGATTAGGCTCCTCCTGAACGTATGTTTGGAACTTCATGTTTCATACTGTACAAGTTTGGCACCGCAATGCAGGGTCAACAGCACGAAAGCGGTGCTAATGCTCCGGAGCAGGATTTCATAACCCAGGTAAAAAACGGTGCTAAGAGTAAGAGTCTCCCTCTTACTTAACTACCTCTGAAACAGACACGCACTGCCCATAGAAACGGACTTCTTTCATTAATTCATAGACAAACCTTGCTATGAGTGAACATGTATACCCCAGGACATGGTGTGTATTATTACTGTTGTTGTATATTTGTTTTTGTATTGCATACTGTTTTATGCATGCGTTATGATAGAATTATTAGATAATGTAATCCTATTGGTACCATGCTGATATCAAAATAACCCTTGTTTGGTCCACTACACATTGATGGACATCACCTCCTCATAGCATGCAGTGTATTCTTGTTATGCTAATTCATAGCATGAAGGGACACAAACTGCCAGCACACTCTAATATACAAAACATACCTCTTTTCCACCAAAGCATGAGTGCTGGTTCGGAGCCAGAGCCTAGTTTCAAATCAGTTATTCATCTTTCGACACCCAAAGCACCAGCTCTGAACTAGGAAAAGTGGTTTGTAAGTAGCACCAAAACATTGCTGGTCTAGAAGTAAGAACCGCTTGGTTACCGTGACCAACAAGACGAACAGAAACGTTTGATTGCCATTTCTGAAATAGCATCTAAACACAAACATGTTGGATGCCGATGTAGATTCGCAAAGCCATGAACATCAATAGCAATGCAACGTCCACCACTGTTGATCGTGTATTTAGGCTTGTTGGGGATGCATCGGTCGGTGTGCTGCGGGAGTGATCGGAGAGCAGACGACTCTCTTTATGCTTTTGGATCACTTTCGCTCTGAGACTGCTCTCGTGTTTGTTCCAGACCGTCAGCCTGTGCATTACTGCTGAGGATTTTACAGTGACTCCTTCAACCAATCGTCTAGAACTCTCTTCATTGGCAGAGCAAACACAAACTGTTGTATGTTCTACCTCCAACAATATAACAGTCCAAGCTGTAGATCTGTTTTCGAGTTAGAAACAGACGTCTTGACACACCAGATCCTGAACGCGTTGAACAAACAAGGGACTTTTCTGTACTTATTTATATACTTGTTTGTTAAACTTTCATATAAAGACAATATCACGCAAGCAAGAGTGCATTATGGCCGTATAACTCACTCTTGCTCGTGTGATATTGTTTTATTATGGTTCTAGCAGTCTAGATCAGATCACAGCTCGTCCCAACGCCTAACTGAGATGAAACATCAAAAGTAAATGCTGTGAACTTGAATTCATTTTATTCACTCAGATTATCTCAATGCAATATGGCAGAGGTGTCCGATTCTGCTTCTGCAGAGTTGAGCTCTAGTCCCAAGTAAACACACTTCAACCAGCTAGTCAAGGTCTTCACTAGATCACTAGAAACTTCCAGAGGAGCAGGACTGGACTGGATATGTTCAGCACTGGTAGAACGTGGCCATACGCTGAATGTGATTTCCCACATGCTATTTTTGATTGATCAAAACTCACTAATATCAGATGTTTCTGTCGACTGCTGTTGGTGAAGCGCTGGCTGATATCCTCACAGCACCGCTGATCGTGTTTGAAGGCTCGGATCAGCTCACATCTGCTATGTGTGGTTATAAAACTGGCATGTGTATTTGTGATCAGTGATATTAAATGCACATGAAGTGTAGAAAACAATTACGCTGTACATCTCAGCCCTCTTTCTGCATGCTGTAACATTTCCACTGCTATGCTGCTTGAACAGCACTGTCTAGGGTTTGAAAATGGATGTGCAAAATCGCCAACACTGATCTGGCCATTTAATTGAGTAAAGTATTGTCAAATTGCACCAACATAACTCAGCTGCACATGTAGTGGGCTGTGAACGCTCCCCTATCATCGCAGCGCATTAATACAGATTTGTGTTTTCCAGGCTGGTACAATCGTCTCTACATACACTTCACTCTTCGGCGTCACGTCTTCTTCTTCCTGCTGCAAACGTATTTCCCAGCCACGCTGATGGTCATGCTGTCCTGGGTGTCGTTCTGGATCGACCGCAGAGCCGTGCCGGCGAGAGTTCCTCTCGGTAGGATAAAACCGCTCCACGTGGACATGATCAAATATAACTGAACATTTATTAATAGAGATTATTCAGAGTGTGTTCAGTCTGAAAGGTGCAAGCAATGCTGAGATCATGGGTTTGATTCCCAGGGAATACTTTGAAGGCACTGAAAGTCGCTTCGGATAAAAGCGTCTGAAGAGTTTAATTAGGATGGAAACCCTGCTAAAAACCAGGTCGTGTCCTGTTTGTTCAGCTGTAACATTCTTTAAAATCACATGCAACCCATGCTTTCACACTCAGGCATCACGACGGTTCTCACGATGTCCACCATCATCACCGGAGTCAACGCCTCCATGCCCCGAGTCTCCTACATCAAAGCTGTGGACATTTACCTGTGGGTCAGCTTCGTCTTCGTCTTCCTCTCTGTCATCGAGTACGCGGCCGTCAATTACCTGACCACCGTGCAGGAGCGCCGAGGGAGGAAGCTCAGGAATCAAGTAAGACCACTGTTTGCTCGTCTCTGATGCTGGTAAATTAAGACGACGAGATGCCGCTGTATCATGTCTGTCTCTCCTGTGTTTACGGCTTGACGTTGCAGTTGCCTTGCACGTGTGGAATAGCAAACCCAGAGGAGGACATGATGATGACCACGTGCTACATCGACTGGGATCCCAGCGCAGCGGGGACGTATGGGATGCCTGAGAACGGCGCGAGGCAGGAGCGGATCCTGGCCCTGCTGACCCTCGCCGACAGCCAGAGGAGGAGTCGCGTGAAGACGTCCCGGGGATACGTCAACGTCTGGATAGACACTCATGCCATAGACAAGTACTCGCGAGTGATCTTTCCCGCCGCTTACACGCTCTTCAACATCATCTACTGGTCCATCTACTCCTAACGCCACAGCGGATCTGTACCAGAACAGTCATCCACTGGGTCTCTCTGCCTTCTTGATCCAGGATCTTAAACTCTTCGTATTTTTAAGTGTTGTACGTTTCTATTATTTAACAAAAGCAACTACTTGAGTTGAAATATGTGTTATTCCTCACAAATAAAAAGAAGAAGCCACTGGTGTGAAATGTCTCAGAATCAGAGGACTGATCTGAGAAAAACTGCCTGTTTAAAGGCCACACACATGACTTTCACATTTCTCCTTCAAGAATGAGTAAACATTAGTTATTTTAATGCATGTATTTATCAGGGATGTCAATCAGTGAAAATCTTTTAATTGTTATATGCATAATGTTGTTGTGGTCAGGTCACACATTAAGAAAACTAAATGGTAAGCTTATTGGGTTTGTCAGTTTGTGTGTGAATGTACAGCAGTGGCTCTTCACTCAGAACAACGCAACACAACCATAAAACAGGTTTCTACACTCTTCATGGACATACAGGAGGATGCAGTCCTCCGCTGGCGTTCACATGAACCTTTCTGCACGATATTGATGTTTTCTATTGACGAATCTTTATAAACAACATCTAGCCAATATTTACTAAAATAACTTCCTTGATAAATGATTTTATAATGTAATTTTTCATGTTTAATATTACAAACTGTGCTGTGTTTTAATAAAATACATGTTAGGTATGATTAAAAAAGGTATAGTTTATTTTTATTCAACAGAGGGAAAAACAAACAATGCATATTGTATGATTCGGCATTGTGCATTACTCATCTGAACATATGGATGATTTTAAACCTTTAATCCTTCTGAAATATACATGACCTTTGTTCCTTTCTTCTGCAGTCTAGTAATCTCTGGTAATCTACAGCGGCCTGCTAATGGATCGTGCTATTTGTGACGTGGAGGCTGGGCTGGGAAAGACCTGCGTGAGCCTGTATGAGCGGGAAGACATTCATTACTTGTGTCATGTCTCATGATTTATCTCATGGTTTACACTTTTATGATTGTTGTAGAATTTTATACATACCCAAAAATCATATAGACTTACTGTACCCCTCATTTATTTTCAGAACTAAATGATTTCAAATCTAACTTTAGCCTGTGATTTTCATCACATTAAACATAAATAAACAGTGTTTTCTTAAGTTTCTTGTTTTAATAAGTGCTTGTTTCATTACACAAGCATACTGTGAGGTTAGATTAATTCTATCATCGCAGTAGTTTGACTAGTTTCTTGTTTGCTCATTAGTGTGCATTTATTGTCTTTTTTCCAGTTTTGAATGTGACTTTTGTGTTTGAGTTAACCTGGTTTAATCTGTATCACTAGCTTTCCCAAGGCAGACGAACTTAGAGTGGTTACAATCATCCGGGTTTAAATCGCGCTCAAATTGTAACCAATCACAGCACACACCGGCCCAGCTAACCAATCACAACACAGACTGGTCCAGTTAACCAATCACAACACATTTCGTATTTCAGAAGGCGGGCCTTCATTTGATTCAGGAACTATTCGAGCCGTTCATGCCAGACTGAGGAGAGAGGTGTTGTAATAATGTAAAATATGTGAAAAATAATGTGTTTTTCGAACAACCTCGTATGAGAGCCTGAAAACAAAATCAAGACTTTGTAAAAGAGCATAATAGATCCCTTTATAAAAAATCCCTTTAACAAATAAAATCTTCCACACTGCATGCAGATTAGTAACACAACACACAAACTCCAGGATCGGCTCACTTTAAGCTCAGTCTGATTTAGCCACTAAATCTGCTTCATGCCGCAGTGTGATGAAACAGAAGGCTGTTAACATCCAGAACATCACAAATAAAGGCAATTCTTTAAGAGAACCGGATTCAGTTAGAGCAAAAACTCACGATCAAGCAGGACCACAATGCAAAGCACTCGGCCAAGAACACTGATGTGTCTCAATTTATACAAAACCAAACAAAAAGTCAAATTTCAATGTTTTTCACTGCTTTATTCTATGTTGATTTCAGCAGGCTTTTGAAGCAATGCATGATGCCTTCGTGATCTCTCAGGCTGGTCTTGTAGAAGTTAAAAAGCTAAATGAAACAAACTACTACAGGCTCATTTAAAATGAAATGACAGTCTCCTCACGAACAGTCCACCATGACTCTGTCAGTGATAGTACTGCCCTCCTCGGCCTCCTCTACCCCATCGGCCTGCTCTCCATCCGTCTCCTCCGGAGCGCCAGCCGCCCGCACCCCGATTCCCGCCGTATCCCGCTCCTCCTCCTCGGCCTCGGCCTCCTCCATCAGCTCTCTTCTGCCACGCGGGCATCTCCGGCAGAGGAGTTTCAATCTCAGACGGCCGTCCGCCGCGGTCAGGAACCCGTCCCATCAGGATCTGAGGAGTCACCACACACAGAGCGTCACACACCAGCCACAACCTGACAGAAGAGCAAAGAAAGGTCCGATAACCTACGTACTCGGTTTATTGCACAGCTAGTTTTCTCTCGGCACGAGCCGCTGCTGGTCTTCACCATATAGCAGACGTCCTGTCGCGCGGCGAGCAGATGAGCCACACTCACCGAGGACTGCAGAGACAGAGAATATCGCTTCGGCTGATACGCTCTGGCCATCCTGTCAATTTTCACCTGAAAAATAAATTAGCTTTTCTATCAAAACACTCAATGACATGTGCGTCTGTCTGACACTGATTTAAAGCAAGAGATGCAACGAATGCAAGCAGCTGACTGTAGGAACAAAATACGGTCTAGTTACCTGTTCACTATTATTAACAAAGCAAAGTGTAAACCCAGGACCCTATTCTCTGAGATCAAACAATCTTGTCAAACCACCATCTCCCTTTCCTAATGGTTCTTCTGGCCTCTGTGAAAACTTTCTGTCATTTTTTATACACAAATTGACAGTATCTATCAATCTTTTCTTGCTTTGCTCCTCCAGAACTCTATGCCTCTCAGATACTCTATCCACTCTCTAACTTCACACTCACCAATACATCTGTGGTTGAACAGCTGATTATTAACTCCTCCTCTTCCTGTCGGCTAGATCCAATCCCAACAACACCTGCTCAAAAACGTTCTGCCTTCTCTCATTATACCCATCACTCACATGATAAATAGATCCCTTATGACTGGTTATGTACCTACTGGACTGAAAGTAACCGTGATCACCCCAGTACTCAAAAAACCTGGCCTTGATGACAAAGTCCTGAGTAAATTCAGACCAATTTCCGACCTTCCCTTTGTGTCTAAGATCCTAGAAAAGATGGTCGCCACTCAACTACAGACTCATTTGGACAAAAATAATCTGCATGAACCATTTCAGTCCGGATTTCGTCCTCTCCACAGTACAGAGACTCTTCTTCTAAGAGACTGCTCTTGCCACTGATTCTAGTGTCCTCAACCTTCTGGTCCTCTTGGACCGGAGAGCAGCTTTTGATACTGTTTGCCATTCTGTACTCCTATCTTGTTTGTCTGGAATTGGCATTACAGGAACTGTCCTGCAGTGGCTAAGCTCATATCTCTCAAACAGGCAAGAGTTCATTAGCATTGATAAACACAAATCTCGGTCCGTCACTTTTTCCCGTGGAGTGCCTCAAGGATCTGTTCTTGGTCCACTTCTATTTTTAATCTACATGCTTCCTCTGGGTCTTAATTTCCACAGTTACGCTGATGATACGCAAATCTATTTTACTGCACAGCCCAATTCTGTTTTTCCTCCTTCTTTAACATCTTGCCTACATGATGATCTCAAAGTATGGATGGGTCAAAATTTCTTAAAATTGAATACTGAAAAAAAAAACTGAAATTCTGTTAGTAGGCCCTAAATCCCTTGTCTCCTCCCATTTTGACATCTCTATTAACATTGATAGATTTATAGTTCATCCCTCCCCCACTATACGCAGTCTTGGTGTACTATTTGATTCCACGCTATGTTTTGAACCCCATATCAACCAGCTCGTTAAGTCCTGTTTTTTCCATCTTCTCAATATTGTCCGTATACGACCCTCACTAAATTTCAGAGATGCTGAAACTGTTACTCATGCTTTCATAACTTCACATCTGGACTATTGTAACTCCTTGTTATATAGCCCACCCAACAAAGCTCTTAATTGCTTGCAGCTAATTCAAAATTCAGCTGCTCGTGCCCTTACATTTACCAAAAAATCAGCCCACATCACTCCTGTCTCACAGCACTTACACTGGCTCCCTGTTATCTATCGTATTCAGTTTAAGATACTTGGTCCTAGTTTTCAAGGCTTGTCATGGTTCTGCACCTTCTTACCTTTCTGAATTAATTCACCCCTATGTCCCTGCTCGAGCTCTAAGTTCTGACTATCTAGTGTGAGTGGCAGGGCTTTCAGCATCTCAGCTCCTAAGCTCTGGAACACACTTCCTCAAAACCTACCGTGCTGTCTCTTCACTCCAGACCTTTAAAACTGTTCTCAAAACTCACTTATTTACAATAGGTTTTGTTAATTGATTGTAGCAGACTGCCTCAATTTTCAGTTCTATGCTTGCTTTTGTTACTCATCTTGTATTTTATGATCTCTGTCTGCTCTATTTGCTTGATTATGTGACTGTATATCTGTTGTTCATGTTATCTATCAACTTTATGTAAAGCGTTATTGTGTTCTTGAAACCCAATTCACATGAACTGAAACCCAGATCACTGTTGAGTTCAGAAAAACAGCTGAAGGTGATGTGTGATCAGACAGACTGATGTTCTTGGTGAAGAATGATGGTATTCTATCGGTTTTCAATAATTTGTTAAATCTTGACTAAAAAGAAAACAACAGAAAGCGGCTGTCAAAAGCTAAAGCAATGCCTGAAAGCGGCTGACATGCCTTGGCTCTGTCGGACCAGCTGAAGGACTGTATGGTCACATCCAGGCGTTTGATCAGCATACGCCGCCGACACTCGTACTCCGCCGACAGAACGCCGTTGATCTTCTCCAGCTCTCTCTGGACACAAGACAGCATCACACTTCACACACACTTTCATATTTCACATCACTGTCAGACACTCCACTTCCACAGCTGAAGTTATCTGCACTGGTGTTTTCTGATCTGACACCCTCACCTGTTAATAATGTATTAAATCAAACTCTTCTCACCCATTGGTCCGGATGGAGGGAGCTCTTGAACGCAGGAGCTTCGACATGCGTTTCTGGAAGCTGCTTGAGTAAAACATTCACCTGCACCAGAGGAAAAAAAACACTTACACAAAAATATGTACATAAAAGCAACATGAAAAACAGAGAGCGAATGGTCGCGCCATGAAGATTGATGTTTAGACGTATGAGAGGCCATACTGCAAACTTGCTCTTCAGTCCATGAAGAGAGTTTATTGTTTCCACTCTCTGAATTCTGAAAATGTGGAGGCGTTCATCTGAACATCCCGCTTCACTACTCATGTAACTGATGAAGACAGAGCAGACACTCCAGCACTGAGAGGGTTAATGATGTGACTAGCTTGATTTGAAGCCATGTACAGTTGTGAAGACATTGCACACTTCTTCAAGAGTGGACAAACAGACGTCACAGACTCTGGATTTCACCTGTTGCTCTCTGGAGTTCTGTTTGATTAGAGCGACAC